GAAGCGCTAAACCCGTAGGATTATACAGCGCCTGGGGGGGATGTGGAAGGCATTCAGGCTTAATTCGGGGAACTGGAGCACAGATCCAATTCCCTAAATCAAGAGCCCCTCACCAATATCAAGGAACCTTCCGTGAGGGGACCGTGTGTGAAGCGGGAGCTTTAGCCATCAGTCCTGTGTGCGGGTTATTTGTGTATTGTTCCAGTCATGATATAGTACCTTTTTGTTTTTTCTATTATATTTTTAGCGTATATACATGGTAAATTTGTCATGTGCTTGTCCATAAAGGTGATAATTCCAGGTTACAGGCAGAATGTCAGGATTAACAGTAATGAACCCGACACTCACTTTCCTGCCATCCACAACATGACTTTGAAAATAATGAACACAGGAGCCACACATCACAAAGATATTATGTGACAGTGAGTGATGAGTAGTGAACATGAACTGTGATGGTGATAATGGGAAGAGATGTGCCACACTCAGCTCACACAGTGATATCCGGGTTCGATCCGCGGTACGGGTGGCAACATTTGGGAGTGTTTCCATAAGACACACGGAGGGCCCGGGTTCGATTCCCGGCGGGTGGAAACATTTCGACACGTTTCCTTACACTTGTCCTGTTCACCTAGCAGCAAATAGGTACCTGGGTGTAAGTCGACTGGTGTGGGTCGCATCCTGGGGGACAAGATTGAGGACCCCAATGGAAATAAGTTAGACAGTCCTCGATGACGCACTGACTTTCTTGGGTTATCCTGGGTGGCTAACCCTACGGGGTTAAAAATCCGAACGAAATCTTATCTTATCTTATCTAACCAGGGGCCTTCTATATATGTCACTGATGTCAGCTATGGTCTGTATAAGTTTTATCATGTACTTGTAGAAATAAAGATTATTATTATTACTATACTTATGCGCACAAATACATTTTCATATGTATACATATACATATGAATACATTCACGCAGACCGTACCTAAGTGCTCAAATATTCATATGTATATATGTGTCTCGTCTAAGCTTGACACTTTTGGCACTGGTGTGTTTTTCTCAAATTGAGAATCGCATTGATTTTCCATATGAAACGTTTATTTGGCAAATTGGTTTCCGTGTAGTAACTAGAGAATGCCTCTTTTGATCGTCTTCAAACTTTAGAATCTGGTGTATTCTACTTGAAGAATTATTATAATCAAGGGGGAAGCGCTAAACCCGGAGGATTATACAGCGCCTGGGGGGGGGGGGATGTGGAAGGCATTCAGGCTTAATTCGGGGAACTGGAGCACATCTACTTGAAGAAATATTTGAATATATTTGGGGCAGTGTAAATGCCAATTTGCAAAGTTTACTGAAGAAATTGGGATATTAGTTTCCATACGATAACTTGGATTGAGTCCTGTGATTGGTTTGATTTGAGGAAGTGGAGGGTAGCTCTACTTCCTTGGATTAAGAGCCTCTCATCAGCATCAAAAAACTTCCCTTGATAATCAAAGAAGGGAAACTAATAACTCTAATTACAGTTGAACCTCTCACTAATAGACCTCCATTTATCAGATTTCGACAATTTCAGACAAAAAAGCAAAAATTGGCCAGTCATATGTTGGAAGTATCGGACAAAATGGAAAAAAAAGTCTACTGAAGCACTGAACCAAGTCCAATGACTCAAGACATTTGTCCAGTACTACAGGCCAAAGTGACCACGTCCAAGACCTGCTGTTTTCATTGTTACACAAATAACCTGCACATAGGAGAGAGGAGCTTACTATGATGTAAATTCGTCGTAAAATCCTCTCTCCTATGTGTGGGTTATTTGTGTATTGTTCCAGTCATGGTATTGTCTTTTTGTTCTTTGTTTTCATTGTCGTCTGAGCTATAGGCCACCTATGCCAGTTTATTGCATGTGCTCACTGATGTACAACAAGGGGCCCCACAGGGGTCAGTGTTGGGCCCTCTGTTGTTCACACCCCTCAAGGAAGGTTCCTTGATGTTGGTGAGGGGCTCTTGATTTAGGGAATTGGATCTGTGCTCCAGTTCCCCGAATTAAGCCTGAATGTCTTCCACATCCCCCCAGGCGCTGTATAATCCTCCGGGTTTAGCGCTTCCCCCTTGATTATAATAATAATAATAGTAATAATCTGTTGTTCACAGTATATTATTATTATAATCAAAAAGAAGTGCTAAGCCACAAGGGCTATACAGCTGTTTACAGTATATATGACATAGATGAGGGAAAAAATAGCGACATAAGCAGGTTTACTGATGACACAAAAATAGGCCTTGGTAATTGACACACTACTGTGTATAATTGTACTTATGTGTACCCGTACCTAAATAAACTTACTTAGGCCTTCAGAATAATTCTGATAAGGACACTACAGGAAGATCTGAATAGATTGATGCACTGACTGGAAAAGTTTAATGTAGACAAATGCAAAGTTCAAAGCCTTGGAAAAGAAAAGAACCATGACACTTAAAAACTAAATAATGCATATCTTAACCACTCTGAATGTAAAAAAGATTTAGGAGTTCTGGTTAGCAATAATCTAAAGCCAAGGCTGTATGACCCATGTGGGTTTAGCACTTACTTTAGATTATATTAATAGTAATTTAATGTCAAGACACCAGTGCATAAGTGTTCACAATAAAGCGAATAGAATTCTTGGCTTCATATCAATTAGTATAACTAACAGGAGTCCTCAGGTTATATTTCAACGATGCAAGTATATCGTTGGTTAGGCCTCATTTAAATTATGCTGCACAGTTTTGGTCACTGTATAAGCTGTATCATGTACCTGTAGAAATAATAATAATAATTTTTTTTTTCAACAAGTCGGCCGTCTCCCACCGAGGCAGGGTGATAATTATTATTATTATTGTTATTATTATATAAATGCACTGGAAAACATGCAGAGGATGACAAAGTTGATCCTATGTGTGGAAATCTTTCCTACAAGGATAGACTGAGGGCACTGAATTTGCACTCTGGAAGGGCATAGAATTACAGAGGATGTGACTGAGGTGTATGAATGGAAAACATTAATAAATGCAGAGGATGTAAATATTATAATCAAAATTAAGCACTAAACCTAGGGGATGTAAATAACATGGTAAAAATATCTAATCAAGACAGGTCTCACAGCAGTGGGTTCAATTTTGAAAAATTTAGGTTTAGAAAGGATATAAGAAAGCACTGGTTTGGTAAGAGTTGTGGATGAGTGGAATAAACTCAGGTAGCTCATTGAAGCAAAAACCTTGTGTAGACTTAAAAATAGGCTAGACAAGTACACGAATGTGCGTCGGTGATTGAGAGTTGGACCTCCCTAGCTTGGGCCAGTAGGCCTGCTGAGGTGCTCCTTTCTTCTAATGTTCATATGTCAAATGCAATTAATAATGGCCTCTAAAGCAAGTGGTGGTGCAAGAGAAAATGTGTGGTACTCAGGGTCAAATAGAAACTAATGTACACATTTTTTAATTAATAAAGAAGCGCTAAACCTAATAGAAACTAATGAAGGTCGAGTCTGGCATCTCTGTGGTACGTCTTCATTCTACATTATTTTCACTAGTAGAGCTTTATAACTTCCGACTCGGGATAAAGGTTATACTAAGTCATTACTATTGATCATGGTAGTTTACATCATCCCTCCACCACAAAAATTTATGTAAAATTGCTGTAAATTATGTACAGTACTATAAAATTATTGTACAGTTCAGTACTGTACTCTTGTACTACAGGTACAGCAGGTTACGGACTTGGTTCATTTGTTCAAAAGAACCAGAATCACGAATTTAATAATTCACAAACTTCAGACAGTCGGCAATATCGTACACCCTTTCCCTTATTAGTCTATTAAGGGGTTTGGGATATTGGCAGTTTGGAGAGGTGTGTTGTGTATCTTTACACGTATATGCTTCTAAACCGTCGTATTGTGAGCACCTCTGCAAAAACGGTGATTATGTGCGAGTGAGGCGAAAGTATTGAATGATGAAAGTATTTTCTTTTTGTGGATCTATCTTTCTTTTTGGGTCACCCTGCCACAGTGGGAGATGGCTGACTTGCTATATATAAAAAAAAAAAAAAAAAAAAAAAAAAAAAAAAAAAAAAAAAAAAAAAAAAAAAGGAGGTTACTGTAGTAAAGACTTTCAGATTAGTAACCCTGGAAGGTTAATAACCCAGGAAAACAAAGCAGTTTGCTTATATCCATTGGAGTTCACTATTCACAGGGAAGTGTTCAACCCTCTCTTTAGGTTTTCCCCAGGATGCTACCCAAAAGAGACAACTCATAAGTACAGTATCTATCTACTGCTAAGTAAACATTATTACACTCAAGGAGTGCTAAACACACATGGATCATACAGAACCTGGGGGACTGGGGAAAATTCAGGTTCAATTCAAGAAAGGGAAGATTACATCTTTGGATCAAGAGCCCTTGATAGATGCTAGGTGAACAGGAGCACCAAGTGTAGGAAGATATGCTCACTGACAAATGAACCCCAGGGTCTTTCTCAGTTGCAAGAACAGCAATGCTACTGATTATTATAGTCATACTGTGTCTTTGAAGTACTTCTTATGTTGAAATAAGCATACGATAAAGTTTTTTTTTGTTCAACACACCGGCCGTATCCCGCAGAGGAAGTGTGACCTAAAAAGAAAATTTTTAGTAATGTATACAGAACGGGTTACTAGCACCTTGCTCCTGGCATTTCAGTTGCCTCTTACGACATGCATGGCTTACAGAGGAAGAACTCTGTTACACTTCCCCATGGAGAGAAAAAAGATATATGGCATAAATTGTTGTATTTAAAAAATTTGAAGTGTTCATCAAGACCTGCATAATTTACTTTTATACAATCATACTGTTAAACACACCAGTCATCTCCCACCAGAGTAGGAGTCAACCCCCCCCCCCCCCCCAAAAAAAAAAAAAAAAAAAAAATCATCTCATTCACTAGCTGTCTTGTTAAACATTTATTTGAAACCTATTACAGGGATTGATAAAACAAACAAAAATTCTACTGCTTTATTATACACTGACTAGTTTGTTAGATAAAGCACACACGAACCATGTAATCTGCAGGTAAAAATGGCTGTAGTGAAAACTACAGTGTAATGTATATATTAAAAATATAGTAAAGCTATGAAAAATTTGAACTTTGGGGGATTTGATTAGAATTGAGTTTATTTCAAGAATAAAGTATAAAAGTTTCTTAAAATATTACAAAATTTCCTATACTGTAGAATATTTTCCAGTGTTGAGCTTCTACTATAATTTCTTTGGAAATTCTAAAAAGGTTAAAATAAAAATATAGTTTCAACACTGAAATACAAATACAGTAAAATTAACATTTGTCCTAAATATAATGGGATCTTAGTGCTTGTGGCATTAGTATTACTGAAAAACAATGTTGATATTAAGCATCCAATCAAAATAAGAGAAAAGTACTATAGTTAAGTTTCCCAGCTGCATCATACGACATATTAGGTACGAGCCTCATCTTACAAATTTATTGGATTTAAAATACTATCTTTCTACAATTCAGCTTTCATTCTAATTCTTATTGCTAGGCCTTCTTTTTCAAATCTGTAAAATTTCTATAAAGTCAATAAGCCTTGCACAATGTATAAAAATATAAATATTACAGAGGGAATGAGTCAATAAATACCAAATTAAATGTAGTTCATGAATGACTACCATCACAGCCTTATAAAACTCGTCAGTTGACAAGCTACATTACCCACCCTGAGTAACTCCATTTAATATTTGTGCCACAACTAGCTCTAAATTTACTTGCACCACTAGAAAATTGCATCTTTAGGACATTAGGTCCATCGAGATACATTTTTCAATTAAAATTTATTCAGAATGGACCAGAAATTATTTATTTAGGTTTTGATTAATAAGGAATTTATGTAATTCCCAGATATACCCAGTTCATTTTTGTAGAGATCTGGTTTAAGTTCAATCTGGTAAACTCAAAAATCTTTACACTCCACTGATAATGAATGTTTAATTTCAGTACAGGTGTAGAAGGTAATGTCAAAACCTATGCACGTACAACCTATGTGCGTGCACACAGAAAACAGAATTTGACTTATTACAAGACAAACACGTGCACATTATACCATCACTCACTACACTCAACCATGATAAAATAGACTGAGTATCTTTAACCCCAATTTTTCCCTCTTCTCATTCAGGTAATTCATTCCTATATCACATTAAAAACTGGGATATGATTTAAATACTGGAATATTGGTCAATATTAGTGTCAAGACCTTACAATATATTCTTCCACTATTATAACATGACCCTCAACCAATGTGTTAAAGATTCTAGTGCAGTAAAAAATAATGAAATTATGCATGGATCTTAAATTGTTAATGTTGGCCCCAAAAAGAAATTAAAAATGAATGTAGGAACAGCCCATATATTATAACTGATTTGTAAGTTTACTTTATGAACAGGAGCAAGCTTTGATTTGCAGTCAATGCACTTTATAGAAGATAAATGCAACTTGGGATGAAGTGAGCCAATTCCCTCAGACAAAGCTCCAACAAATTCCACTTTATCACCTATGTGTAACTTCAGCACGAAGTCCTGGAATGTGCTATCTGCCTGAAGACTTACTTGAGAACCTTCATTACCAAATTTCCAATATGAGGAACTCATTGCCACTGTAATATCAAAGTTATATGTATTCCAGTTTTCTAGTGTGCAAGCATCAGACCCCAAAACACTATGCAACAGCTGACAACGCTCCATCTGGGTTGTAATAATCTTGCTCACTGGACAAGGAGGCAATCTTTTACCTAAATAACATTGTATAGGTTTAACAAGGGCTGTTGGTAACTGAGAAAACACTGCCTCAGGTAAGTTGTGCACACTTATAATACTTACTTGTGCAACAGACCCCTGCCATTTCACCAAAGTTTCTAACAGAGGAAGACAACCATGCACTGTAACAGCCCCAGTGTCTTTTGAAGGTAGACAAACATTTGTATAACTATCCCATTGCAGACTAGAATGTTGGGCAGATGGTGACCTCACAAAAAGATTGGGATGCATCAAAACCAATAGCATTAATCCAACCATGACCCACTTGCAAACTAAAAGTAAGTTTGGCAAATGTTTCAATATCCACAAGCCTATAGTGCTACATAAAAATAAGAGCAGCAAAGCCTGATTATCCACCCCAACATGGTAGCCAAGTAAAGCACAAATAATAGCAGGTCCTACTAGCAGCAAGAAGGAAGCAAGGGTAGGTAAAAAAATTAACACAGACCACCCAACAACAGGATATAAGATATCAGTTGGTGTGGCTACCTTCTGGTATGCTATTACAGCCAAATGGCACCATACAACACTGACTAGATGGGGAGGGAGACGAACAAGACCACTACATACTACCATGCCAAGCTGGATACCAAACCACAACAAGTGAAGCAAAGGCCCCACCCCTAAGTGAAATTTTAATTTCCACCACACATCAATGTGGTTTTCTGCAAGGATGTGTTCCAAGCCTGTTCCTGCAGAGACTGAGACAAGCCAACTGCTGATGCTTGTATGCACACTTGGAATCATAGCTGATATGTAAACTATTTGAGAGAGAAACTGCCATCCATTTAGCCTTTCTGGGATAAGCAAAAATGTTATAATTGCAGACACACACATTACAGGTAAAAATATGATCATAAGTTTGGGTGATGTTAATGGTACTGTGCTGAGATAAAAGAATACAGCCATACACATTGTACCATATGGTTTCCAGCACCTTGCCTTGAATCGTCTTTCTGCCCGATCAATGTCCAGCTCTGAACAAAAATGAGAAAACACCAATGACCAAATGTGAAAGCTATTAAATCTTTTTCTATTTAATAACATATGAACAGATGACATTACCATTATTATTAGAGATATACAGGATACAATAACAGGCAGAACAACTGCTGTATTTTCTACTCCAAACAATGATATTAAGCTACCTAGTAAAAATATTGCCAGTCCACTAAAAACTGGCGTGAAAAATCCTAAAATTTTGTGTGCATAATTAGCCAGTACAACTCCAAAGAAATGCAGGCAGCTATGATAAATCCCCTCTAGGGCCCTGTAGGGCCAATGAATTGCCTGCAAGACGTATGAAGTCTTTGGAGAGGATGAATCCAGAGTAAGAAAGTGATGAAGAGGAGGAACGCGACCCTGGCAGTAGAGTACCGACCCTGAAACTAAGTGTTCCTCAGTAAATCTTTCTCCACCATAGCGTTGCTCTAAGGTAGCACAACTTTCAGACTGCTCATGGTTCTGTAATAAAATTAAATCATTAAAACAATGTTTATTCAGAATTTCATAACTCTTTATAGTATTAATAACAATGTTAAAAATATTGTCTGAACCATGTTACAATACTGTATTTAGACACCTTCCCAAGTGGAACTGAACAGACTGGGAGGATACCGAATGGGAAATTGCAATATTAGTTACAAGGGGACAAAGAGAAACTATTAAAAATATTCAGGGACACAGATTTTGAGGACAAATATAACATGGTTTATAAAGCCCGTGAATTATGCAATGAACTTGTGAGGACATGTCACTTTCATATCACACTGCAGTTCTTCCCTTACCTGCTGTTGGTTTTCAGTTTCCATGCCATCCTCATCATCACCTGCTAAAACTTCCTGAATTTTGCTCGTCAGGCCGCTGCTGCTGATAACATCATTTCCATCACTCACACTGCAAAAAATTTTAAGTAACTGCAGAACTGAACACTGAAGTTACTTTAGTTAGCAAATTCTATAAAGTTTTACTTTCCATAATTCTACTTTGCACACTACTATAAAAATGGCTAACAGTATTTGTTTCCTTTTTGAAATGTGATAAGTTATGAGAATTCCTCAACTTTTATTCTCAACAAATATGGCAATATGGTATGCTATTATCTAATATCTCCAGCTCTATTATGAATCCAGTAACTTAATTACCCTAAACTTAATTACCCTATCTGTTTGCACTCCTCATGGGTTGTAGTGTGTCATCTCAAAGATTATTACAGTATATTCAATCAGCTTTCAAATGTAGCAAAACGAACAAGTCATTAAAATGCCTCAAAATATTATGTATAATAGTGTCTTGATCAAGTGAAAAATTAAAGCTTGAGATATGAGAATACATAATAGAATGATAGCCAAGGGTTATCTCAACCAAGTGTAAGGAAACAATAAATAGTGAGCAAGGAAGAAAAAGCAATGAAAAAAATGTGGAAGCAGAAAAAGGCTGTCTAAAGATAATAACTGAATTTGAGAATTTGAAAAAAAGACTACATATAGGATGAATGAAGAGACCGATCATTATCTGAGAAGCCTTTCTATTCCAACAAATGTGTTAAAGTGTTTTTAAATTGTGGCAGTCAAAGAAGTCAATTTAAGCATTGGGCACCTGCATATGCCAAATGGCATTACTGCACCATGTAAAGCAAGTTACCAGTTACCTGCAGAACAACATGTGAGCGGCTCGTCTTGCCAGTTTTTCTTGCAAATCCATGGCCAGACACTCCCGCACTTCATGGTAATTGTGCTCGCATATTCCTGCAATAATGTAATGTAAAATTTAGAAGTGAAAAACACACTTAAGCAGTTTTTTTTAACAAATCAGCTGTTTCCCACCTGAAAAATAAACACTTTCATCACTCATTCCATCATTGTCTTGCCAGAGGTATGATACTACAGATTACACCATTCAAGTCACCCATATAAATATTCCTCAAACATACATAATCACTTTTGATGATCTCTGGTTTCTTTATACTAAGAGCTGCTTCAGTACCACAGCTTGTCACTCATTTTAAATTAGAAATGGCCATCCAAATGGAAGAAGATATGCTGTAATAAGGTCAAGGTGTTTAACACCATAATAACTGCCAATGTGTGGCTATGTGTGGTATAAATATTATGCAGAGAATTTGGAGTGTGCAAATTGGGAGGAGGTGTGGAGTTGCTAAAAGTATTAGTCAGAGGGCTGAAGAGGAGTTGTTGAGGTAGTTTGGTCATTTAGAGAGAACAGATCAAAGTAGAATGACTTGGAGAGCGCATAGGTAGTAGGGGTCGTCCTCAAAAAGGTTGGAGGGAAGGGGGGTAAAGGAGGTTTTGGACTTCCAGCATGCATGTGTGAGCATGTTAGAGAGGAGTGAATGGAAACTAATGGTATTTGGGACCTGACGAGCTGTTGGAGTGTGAGCAGGGTAATATTTTGTGAAGGGATTCAGGGAAATCGGTTAGCTGGACTTGAGTCCTGGAAATAGGAAGTACAATGCCTGCACCTTAACCCTTTCAGGGTTCCCAGGCCCTCTCCAAGACTTGTTCTCAGGGTCCCCAAATTTAAAAAAAATTATTTTTTCATATGAAATCATGGAGAATCTTTTCCTGATCATAATGACACCAAAAGTATGAAATTTGATGGAAAACTTACTGACTTATGCTCTCGCGAAATTAGCAGTCTCGACGATGTTTATGCATCGGTGATTTTGCCCACTTTGAGCCCTATTTTCGGCCAATTCCAGTGTACTAGTTGACAAAAATTATAACTATTTTGCTAGAACTCCATTTTTTCTATCGAATGAGTACAAGAAACCACCCATTACCGATTTCAACTATCCAATAAAGTGGTCAGAATTTAGCAATTTTGCCAATTTCACACAAATTTCAAAAGATGCCAATTTCCGAATAGGGTCCAGAATAAACAAGAAAGACATTCCTGGCATTAAAATAACAAGTTCTCTGTTCGTTAGTCACATCCCCAGGCCCCTCTTATATTTCTTTGGCTTTCCACTAAATTTTTATTCTTACAAAAAAATAGAAGATTTACTGTTATGTAGACTACTGCGTTTGTGTAAAAATGGTATAAATAATATCAGCGCACTTGTGAAAGAATATTAGACTCACCAGTTGATGTGTATTGGACCCTTGGCATGATTTGTTTACTTTTGAACTTTGGAAAAAATCGAACATTTCTGCTACTTTGAGCTCAATTTCAGGGCACTTTTCATTGTAAAACCAGTCAAAATCATCTCAATTTCTGTAATATGTCTTCCATTCTATAAAATGAGACCAGGAAAACTAGAATACAACAATAAATACCATACGAAAATACAGTGCAAAGTCGATGTTTTAATCCAAAAACACTGTCAAAGTTTTTTTTTTCTCATTACGCACTGTGTACTCCAGGATTTTTTTTTATACTGTGCACACTGACCACAGACCCATTCTTTCATATGAAGGCCTACCAGCTTTCTCTCACTAGATTTGAGGGCGCCAGAATTTATGCGTACTAGTACAGTGGTCCCTCAATAATCGTCCATAATCCGTTCCTGGAAGTGGGACTATTATCGAAATGGACGATTTACGAATCAATTTTCCCCATAAGAAATAATGTAAATTCAATTAATCCGTTCCCGACACCCAGAAGTAAAACAAAAAAATTTTTTACATGAAATATAGATGTAGTACATAAACAATACCTGGAGTTTACCTGGAGAGAGTTCCGGGGGTCAACGCCCCCGCGGCCCGGTCTGTGACCAGGCCTCCTGGTGGATCAGAGCCTGATCAACCAGGCTGTTGCTGCTGGCTGCACGCAAACCAACGTACGAGCCACAGCCCGGCTGATCAGGAACTGACTTTAGGTGCTTGTCCAGTGCCAGCTTGAAGACTGCCAGGGGTCTGTTGGTAATCCCCCTTATGTGTGCTGGGAGGCAGTTGAACAGTCTCGGGCCACTGACACTTATTGTATGGTCTCTTAACGTGCTAGTGACACCCCTGCTTTTCATTGAGGGGATGGTGCATCGTCTGCCAAGTCTTTTGCTTTTGTAGCGAGTGATTTTCGTGTGCAAGTTCGGTACTAGTCCCTCTAGGATTTTCCATGTGTATATAATCATGTATCTCTCCCTCCTGTGTTCCATGGAATACAGGTTTAGGAACCTCAAGCGCTCCCAGTAATTGAGGTGTTTTATCTCCGTTATGCGCGCCGTGAAAGTTCTCTGTACATTTTCTAGGTCGGCAATTTCACCTGCCTTGAAAGGTGCTGTTAGTGTGCAGCAATATTCCAGCCTAGATAGAACAAGTGACCTGAAGAGTGTCATCATGGGCTTGGCCTCCCTAGTATTGAAGGTTCTCATTATCCATCCTGTCATTTTTCTAGCAGATGCAATTGATACAATGTTATGGTCCTTGAAGGTGAGATCCTCCGACATAATCACTCCCAGGTCTTTGACGTTGGTGTTTTGCTCTATTTTGTGGCCAGAATTTGTTTTGTACTCTGATGAAGATTTAATTTCCTCATGTTTACCATATCTGAGTAATTGAAATTTCTCATCGTTGAACTTCATATTGTTTTCTGCAGCCCACTGAAAGATTTGGTTGATGTCCGCCTGGAGCCTTGCAGTGTCTGTAATGGAAGACACTGTCATGCAGATTCGGGTGTCATCTGCAAAGGAAGACACGGTGCTGTGGCTGACATCCTTGTCTATGTCGGATATGAGGATGAGGAACAAGATGGGAGCGAGTACTGTGCCTTGTGGAACAGAGCTTTTCACCGTAGCTGCCTCAGACTTTACTCTGTTGACGACTACTCTGTGTTCTGTTAGTGAGGAAATTATAGATCCATCGACCGACTTTTCCTGTTATTCCTTTAGCACGCATTCTGTGCGCTATTACGCCATGGTCACACTTGTCGAAGGCTTTTGCAAAGTCTGTATATATTACATCTGCATTCTTTTTGTCTTTAATGCATTTAGGACCTTGTCGTAGTGATCCAATAGTTGAGACAGACAGGAGCGACCTGTTCTAAACCCATGTTGCCCTGGGTTGTGTAACTGATGGGTTTCTAGATGGGTGGTGATCTTGCTTCTTAGGACCCTTTCAAAGATTTTTATATGGGATGTTAGTGCTATTGGTCTGTAGTTCTTTGCTGTTGCTTTACTGCCCCCTTTGTGGAGTGGGGCTATGTCTGTTGTTTTTAGTAACTGTGGGACGACCCCCGTGTCCATGCTCCCTCTCCATAGGATGGAAAAGGCTCGTGATAGGGGCTTCTTGCAGTTCTTGATGAACACAGAGTTCCGTGAGTCTGGCCCTGAGGCAGAGTGCATGGGCATGTCATTTATCGCCTGTTCGAAGTCATTTGGCGTCAGGATAACATCGGATAGGCTTGTGTTAATCAAATTTTGTGGCTCTCATAAAAAATTCATTTTGATCTTCGACTCTCAGTCTGGTTAGCGGCTTGCTAAAAACTGAGTCATATTGGGACTTGAGTAGCTCACTCATTTCCTTGCTGTCATCTGTGTAGGACCCATCTTGTTTAAGTAGGGGCCCAATACTGGACGTTGTTCTCGATTTTGATTTGGCATAGGAGAAGAAATACTTTGGGTTTCTTTCGATTTCATTTATGGCTTTTAGTTCTTCCCGCGATTCCTGACTCCTAAACGATTCTTTTAGCTTAAGTTCGATGCTTGCTATTCCTCTGACCAGTGTCTCCCTACGCATTTCAGATATGTTGACCTCTTTTAGCCGCTCTGTTATTCTTTTCCGTCACCTGTAAAGGGAGCGCCTGTCTCTTTCTATTTTACATCTACTCCTCCTTTTTCTTAAGAGGAATAAGCCTTGTGCATACATCGAGTGCCACCGAGTTAATCTGTTCTAGGCATAAGTTGGGGTCTGTGTTGCTTAGTATATCTTCCCAGCTTATATCGGTTAGGACTTGGTTTACTTGGTCCCACTTTATGTTTTTGTTATTGAAGTTGAATTTGGTGAATGCTCCTTCGTGACTAGTCTCATTATGTCGGTCTGGGGCTCCACGCATACATGTCTGAACCTCAATTATGTTGTGATCTGAGTATATTGTTTTTGATATGGTGACATTTCTTATCAGATCATCATTGTTAGTGAAGATGAGGTCTAGTGTATTCTCCAGTCTAGTAGGCTCTATTTGCTGGTTTAAATTGAATTTTGTGCAGAGATTTAAAAGCTTGTGTGAGTGTGAGTTTTCATCAGAGCTGCCTCCTGGTGTTATTACTGCAACAATTATTTGCTATATTCCTCCATTTTAGGTGCCTTAAGTTGAAATCCCCCAGGAGCAAGATGTTGGGTGCAGGAGCTGGAAGATTTTCCAGACAGTGGTCAATTTTTAACAGCTGTTCCTGGAATTGCTGGGATGTTGCATCCGGAGGCTTGTAGACTACCACAATGACTAGGTTTTGGTTCTCGACCTTTACTGCTAAAACTTCCACTACATCATTTGAGGCATTAAGCAGTTCTGTGCAAACAAGTGAGACTGCAATGTACAGGCCAACCCCCCTTCCCTTTTGCCTGTTCACTCTGTCACATCTGTATAGGTTGTAACCTGGGATCCATATTTCGTTGTCCAAGTGATCCTTTATGTGGGTCTCAGTGAAAGCCGCGAACATTGCCTTTGCCTCTGCAAGCAGTCCACGGATGAAAGGTATTTTGTTGTTTGTTGCTGGCTTTAGACCCTGTATATTTGCAAAGAAGAATGTTATCGGACTGGTGGTATTGTTGGTACTGGGGGGGGATTTTTTTTCCGGCATTAGTATCTGTATCTGTTGGTTTGGAGTGGAGGCCATCGACTGTGGTTCCACTCCAGGAATGACTGGATTTGGTGTACAATTTCTGCCATTTCCTGCCAGTTTTTTTTCCTTCCTGGCACTAAAAAACCTCTCCCTCTTGAGTGGCTGTGGCTACCCAGGTTTTCCCATGGCCTGGATGTTTTGTATCTTTTTGTACCCTTTAGATGGTATGCCTGGCAATTTAAGTTATAGCACAGTCTTTCCTGTACTGAAGAGGTACACAGTTCAGGGTGAAAAAGCTTACAGGAAGGGAGTTTGCATTTTCCTGTTGTCATATGGGCATGGCATTTTCTAGGGTGGTCGTAGTTGCACGTCCCGTCTGTTTTTCCAGATTTCCCATGCCAGCAGATACCAAGTGCATAGTATGTGCACAGGCTTGGTTTCCGTTTGCCTTGGGTTTCTGTGACTGTATTCCCTGTTGGTGCATGTTTCCCTGTCTTACTTCTATCCTCCTTAGCACCAACAATGGAGCTCCCACCAGTTGTTTTCAGTAATATATCCTCACTATTGCTAGTAGAGTCCTCTTATTTGCTATTTCCTGCGGTATTTCTAGTTTGCAATATTGGCTTCATCTTATCTTTGACTACACTTGTTTCCCTACTATGGCTCCTGTCCCCTATGAGGTCATTTGTATGTATTCCTTCCTGCGTATAATTCCCGACTACCTGGACAAAATCTCCAGCTTCACCATTACTGTCTCCCAGGACAGCATCTCCAGCTTCACCATTACTGTCTCCCAGGACAGCACCTCCAGCTTCACCATTACTGTCTCCCAGGACAGCACTATCAGCCCCACATTTACTGACTACCAGGACATCACCTCCAGCCTTACAGTTTCTGACTACATGGCCAGTATCAAGGGCAGTACCATTCAGCCCAGACTTTTTATGTTCCCATCTGTTGTAGAAAGCTTCCAGGTTTTCTATGAAAGCAGCTTTGATGTTGTCCTCTTTTAATACCCTTGTGATTTTAGTCCACAGATTTATCTCATTTGGGTATACCCAAAAACACTTCCCTGTTTTAACACTGCTTGTAGCTAGTTCTTGGATATCTGCACAAGGGGCGTGACACCAATTTCCACAAAAATGACAATTTACCCATGTGGAAGCCCGTTTGTTTGACTGACCACAGACTACACACAGCTTCATATTGATTTGAATGGTTGATTTACTGTAATTCTACTAGCAACCTCTTGAATATTCTATTAATAACCTCCTTAAATGAAGCTCTAGCTATTTGTATTTCTGTTTCTAACTTTTTGTATATTGGACAGCTTACCGTGCACATTCCTGATTTATATTTAATGTTCGTGTTTATAAGGGCGCCTACAACCCCATCCATTTACAGTCGGCTTTATTGTCCAACGAAACCGTTTGAAACCAGTCAAGGGTTCGGACCAGTCGATCTGATCTGATCAGTGGGTCACTTATTTAAAACATACTGGTCGGTGATTTGAGCTAACACATGAAGGATCTACTGGAAATTATCTACCTGAGTAATATGTGATTTGATTGATACAAAAGTATAACTTGTGTGTTGAAGAAACCGGTGACTGCTGGCAATTCCTACAATGACGAACGGTCGACCTCAACCCTTGTTTATCAATCGCTGTATCTAGCTTTTCTATTTTTTTTTCCGTCTCCACCACAATAAATGCTATATTATCACTATAGTTGACTGGTGGAAATTTTGGAGGAAGGATGCTTTTTCTGTAGTAATAATTGCTTCTCGTTGTGTATATTGCGACCGCTGGTAACTACAGGTTATATGAAATTCACAGTATACGTCTGGTATTTCAAGAAAAAAGAAACTAATGAAAGTCACTCCACTCCACTAAGTACCATTATAATACTGGTTAGTTGCTACTACAACACTGTATTCTGCTATTCACTGGTATCACTAGATTATATGCGAGTACACTAGCAAGCCAGGAAGATTATTAAAAACAGCTGACCTGTGGTAAGTTTCTGGTGACTTCTGGCACCTGCCTCTATAGGCTTATCACTTCATTTACAAATTCACCTGTTTTCAAATGACACTTTAGCCTTTATCATCAATATACTAGGGAGCCACTGTAGTATACACTATACACTATGTATACTCAATGTTATCAGCGAGATTTTCTTTCCTCTGACACGAAAAGTTCAATTATTATTATTTTTTTCACATGGGACACGGGCCTGATTCCCCTCTGGCAGTAAACTCTGCTAGGTAGTGCACACTAATTCTCCTTTTTTGACTCGGTATATAATGTTTTCTGCCCAAGATTGGTTCCAGGCGCTAGAGGGATGTATCGTATAGGATTGATGACACAAATTAAAGTTCTAGCATGTAAGAGCGACCGTGAAAACACGAGAAAACCCGGAGCACAATGATGAATTAAACATTAACAGAATAACACTTACCTTTATTGGCAATTCTTCTTTGTGTATGGAAGACTGGAGAAGGAGACAGATTGGATGATTTACTGTTTGGAAGGGGAATTCCCTTCCATCAACACCTCGGGTACCAATTGCTTTTCTGGGGTTACTTCTCTTTGTTTCTTAATGCCAGTAATGTAGGTCCTCTTTGGCATTTTCTTCCAAAAGAGGCCTGTTTCATCACAATTGAACACTTGTTCAGGTTTCAGTCCTTCACTGTTTATGTACTCCTTGAATTCATGCACGTATTTTTCAACTGCCTTGTGGTCCGAACTGGCAGCCTCACCATGCCTTACCACACTGTGTATGCCAGTACGCTTCTTAAATCTCTCAAACCAGCCTTTGCTGGCCTTAAATTCACTCACATCACCACTAGTTGCAGGCAATTTCTTTACCAAATCGTCATGCAACTGCCTAGCCTTTTCACAAATAAGTGACGTCATAAGACTATCTCCTGCTAATTGTTTCTCATTTATCCACACCAATAATAACTTCTCAACATCTTCGAGTACCGGTGATCTCATTTTTGTCAGCATATTTACCCCCTTTGCAACAACAGCATCCTTGATTTCCTTTTTCTTGGCTATGATGGAAGATATGGTTGTACGGGATTTGTTATACATCCTCGCCAGTTCGCCCACACGTATGCCACTATCATATTGTTCAATGATGTTTTTTCTTAAATTCAATCGTATTTCTCACCTTTACCAAAGGCTTGGCACTAGGAGCTTTCTTTGGAGCCATGGTTGCTTATTTAGCACTTAAATAACTTGCAAGCACTAAAATAAATGGAATATTATGAAATATTTCGCTGGAGCACGTGAGGGGACCATCGCTCACTGATATACAATGGCACACTGGCTGGGAAGGAAAGGCCGAGGCGGCTCAGAGCGTGAGTACGCGTCCGGGACGAAGGACTATTAGCGAGTTACCGGACCATTTGCGAGCCAATATTTTGACGAAAAACCAGGACCATTTCCGAAATGGACGATTTTCAGGCCGGACGATTATTGAAGGACCACTGTAAGTCAAAAACCCTGGGGCGTAAGCCGTACTAGTACGGCCGAAACCCTGAAAGCGTTGAAAGAGGGGTTTGGGATATTGGCAGTTTGGAGGTTGACTTTTAAACTGTCGTATCTGAGCACCTCTGCAAAGACAGTGATTATGTATGAGTGAGGTTAAATTGTTGAATGATGAAAGTATTTCCTTTTTTGGGGATTTTCTTTCTTTTTGGGTCACCCTGCCTCGGTAGGAGACGACCAACGTGTTGAAAAAAAAAAAAATGTCTGTTAGTGCCTTTAACGCAGCAGACTAGGTCTACTACACTGGGCCTTTGTGTCCAGTAGTCCAATCCAGTGAATGTTGTGTGCTGCACCATGAACTTTAATACAACGAAGTTTTGTTGAAGACGTCTCCCTCTTTTTGGTGAAATGTCATATTTAATATAATAATTATGTTGTAACATTAAACCCAGTGCACTATTTTCTTAAGTAACTACTCCTCTGGTTCCTATCAAGGTCTGCAGGGATCCACTGTTGCTGAAATCTCCATCTGCAATAACAGTCTTATTAGCTGCCACCTTTCAGCAATATATCCCCTATTACATAATCCTCATTTATCTTGTCCAATATTTTTTCTCACCAGTCTTATTAAATGGTCAATTTTACCCCGTAAATAAACCAATAACTGGCAAGTACCATCCACTACTGTCATGTGATCAACTTACTAATGCAGAATAATGGCTGTAAGCAGAGAAATTTTTAGTAGAAAGACACTTAATAGTAAAGAACCTTTTATTTTAAAATAAAATGTTCTCTTTTGTTTGTGACCTACTACTACCAAATTGCCAAGGTGGAAGACAAATACAGAAATTTTTATTTTAACTGTTTCACTGGGTAGAGCTTTATCAAGTCAATCAAGCTAAGCACTATCACAATAATGACTTTCTCTGCACTTGTTCTTTATCACTATAAGCAGTACATCTGTGTATCCAGCTTACCAATGTTCTTGTCAAGACAGTTCTGTAGCAGCTCTGTTGCTTCACTGCTGCCCTGAAGGGATGCCCTCGTCAGCCAGAACACTGCCAAACGCGCACCCTCTTCGTCTCCTTCATTCTCTACAAGAAATTATCACTATCTCCATTATCACTTCATGGTGTGTGGGGACCCACCAGGAAAGAACAGAAATACAGTATGTTAGAGAAAAGATTAAAGGCATTTAGAACACATGGAAAAATGCTGCTTATCTAGTGATAAAGAGGGTACAGTAGTGATATGCATGGAACAGTAATGAAAATAGTACAGTAGTGGTGTAAATAGTACAGTAATGATGTGCACAGAACACACACTGATTTTTTTGGGTTATCCTACATTCTCTACACATATGCTGCTATATATGATAATCTATGTAACTGTATGCTGCTATGTATGATAATCTATGTAACTATTTGTGTATACCTGAATAAACTTACTTAACAGTAGTGATGTACAGGGTGCAGTTAGCTCTTACTAAAATATTTAGTGGTTGAAGAAACTGAATTTTTTTTTTTTCAAAACTGTATGCAGAAAAAATCTGCAATATTGATTATGCATAACACAAGTTTTCATCTCTGCTACAGTTACCAATATTTTATATCTGCATGTTACTCTGATGCAGATGTTCTTAATACATTTTGAATTCAAAGGAATTTACCTCTTTCTGAAGCAAAACCAGTAAAAAAATCAGATCAGAGTAACTTGTGTTACTGGGCACTGAAATGATAGATGTCCTTAGTGAATCACTGCCCAAAAACATGTGCTAGGTTAAAAACATTTTTTAGAAGCTCTAAGAATTCGTATATAAAAACAGTTGGCCTCAATATACTCTTGGAAGGTTTACTGTGGAAGAAGTTGAATTGGGTACTTTTCTCAACTTTTTTTTTTTTTTTCATTCACACGGATGCAACATCCCAGCAATTCCAGGAACAGCTGTTAAAAATTGACCACTGTCTGGAAAATCTTCCAGCTCCTGCACCCAACATCTTGCTCCTGGGGGATTTCAACTTAAGGCACCTAAAATGGAGGAATATAGCAAATAATATTGTTGCAGTAATAACACCAGGAGGCAGCTCTGATGAAAACTCACACTCACACGAGCTTTTAAATCTCTGCACAAAATTCAATTTAAACCAGCAAATAATAGAGCCTACTAGACTGGAGAATACACTAGACCTCATATTCACTAACAATGATGATCTGATAAGAAATGTCACCATATCAAAAACAATATACTCAGATCACAACATAATTGAGGTTCAGACATGTATGCGAGGAGCCCCAGACCGACAAAATGAGACTAGTCACGAGGGAGCATTCACCAAATTCAACTTCAATAACAAAAACATAAAGTGGGACCAAGTAAACCAAGTCCTAACCGATATAAGCTGGGAAGATATACTAAGCAACACAGACCCAAACTTATGCCTAGAACAGATTAACTCGGTGGCACTCGATGTATGCACAAGGCTTATTCCTCTAAGAAAAAGGAGGAGTAGATGTAAAATAGAAAGAGACAGGCGCTCCCTTTACAGGCGACGGAAAAGAATAACAGAGCGGCTAAAAGAGGTCAATATATTGAAATGCGCAGGGAGACACTGGTCAGAGAAATAGCAAGCATCGAACTTAAGCTAAAAAGAATCCTTTAGGAGTCAGGAATCGCGGGAAGAACTAAAAGCTATAAATGAAATCGAAAGAAACCCAAAGTATTTCTTCTCCTATGCCAAATCAAAATCGAGAACAACGCCCAGTATTGGGCCCCTACTTAAACAAGATGGGTCCTACACAGATGACAGCAAGGAAATGAGTGAGCTACTCAAGTCCCAATATGACTCAGTTTTTAGCAAGCCGCTAACCAGACTGAGAGTCGAAGATCAAAATAAATTTTTTATGAGAGAGCCACAAAATTTGATTAACACAAGCCTATCCGATGTTATCCTGACGCCAAATGACTTCGAACAGGCGATAAATGACATGCCCATGCACTCTGCCCCAGGGCCAGACTCATGGAACTCTGTGTTCATCAAGAACTGCAAGAAGCCCTATCACGAGCCTTTTCCATCCTATGGAGAGGGAGCATGGACACGGGGGTCGTCCCTCAGTTACTAAAAACAACAGACATAGCCCCACTCCACAAAGGGGGCAGTAAAGCAACAGCAAAGAAACTACAGACCAATAGCACTAACATCCCATATCATAAAAATCTTTGAAAGGGTCCTAAGAAGCAAGATCACCACCCATCTAGAAACCCATCAGTTACACAACCCAGGGCAACATGGGTTTAGAACAGGTCGCTCCTGTCTGTCTCAACTACTGGATCACTACGACAAGGTCCTAAATGCACTAGAAGACAAAAAGAATGCAGATGTAATATATACAGACTTTGCAAAAGCCTTCGACAAGTGTGACCATGGCATAATAGCGCACAAAATGCGCGCTAAAGGAATAACAGGAAAAGTCGGTCGATGGATCTATAATTTCCTCACTAACAGAACACAGAGAGTAGTCATCAACAGAGTAAAGTCCGAGGCAGCTACGGTGAAAAGCTCTGTTCCACAAGGCACAGTACTAGCTCCCATCTTGTTCCTCATCCTCATATCCGACATAGACAAGGATGTCAGCCACAGCACCGTGTCTTCCTTTGCAGATGACACCCGAATCTGCATGACAGTGTCTTCCATTGCAGACACTGCAAGGCTCCAGGCGGACATCAACCAAATCTTTCAGTGGGCTGCAGAAAACAATATGAAGTTCAACGATGAGAAATTTCAATTACTCAGATATGGTAAACATGAGGAAATTAAATCTTCATCAGAGTACTAAACAAATTCTGGCCACAAAATAGAGCGAAACACCAACGTCAAAGACCTGGGAGTGATTATGTCGGAGGATCTCACCTTCAAGGACCATAACATTGTATCAATCGAATCTGCTAGAAAAATGACAGGATGGATAATGAGAACCTTCAAAACTAGGGAGGCCAAGCCCATGGTGACACTCTTCAGGTCACTTGTTCTATCTAGGCGGGAATATTGCTGCACTCTAACAGCACCTTTCAAAGCAGGTGAAATTGCCGACCTAGAAAATGTACAGAGAACTTTCACGGCGCGCATAACGGAGATAAAACACCTCAATTACTGGGAGCGCTTGAGGTTTCTAAACCTGTATTCCCTGGAACGCAGGAGGGAGAGATACATGATTATATACACCTGGAAAATCCTAGAGGGACTAGTACCGAACTTGCACACGAAAATCACTCACTACGAAAGCAAAAGACTTGGCAGACGATGCACCATCCCCCCAATGAAAAGCAGGGGTGTCACTAGCACGTTAAGAGACCATACAATAAGTGTCAGGGGCCCGAGACTGTTCAACTGCCTCCCAGCACACATAAGGGGGATTACCAACAGACCCCTGGCAGTCTTCAAGCTGGCACTGGACAAGCACCTAAAGTCAGTTCCTGATCAGCCGGGCTGTGGCTCGTACGTTGGTTTGCGTGCAGCCAGCAGCAACAGCCTGGTTGATCAGGCGCTGATCCACCAGGAGGCCTGGTCACAGACCGGGCCGCGGGGGCGTTGACCCCCGAAACTCTCTCCAGGTAAACTCCAGGTAATCCAGGTAAACACCATCTGGTCAACTATTTTTTTTCCACCACTACATTATCGTCCTAGTAAATGCTGATATCCCAACCTCTTTCCTTTAAGCCCCCTTCTCTTTCTGCTTTTGTCTCATTTCTTCACTTCTTTATTTGTAAGATTCATGGTGAAAGTACATAATAGTCAAATGTTTAACTTTTAATATACCTAACCTAGCATGCAGAATGGTTTTATGAATGTGTCAGGTGCTCCAAGTTTTTTTTAAACTCTGAAGGTACAATGTCTTAAAACTGTATTGAAGGGGTCCAATTAGAAAACTTTTCAGGGAAACTAAATGGTATTCCTACCCTAAGACTACTAGATATGGCGGGTAGCAGATAAATAATGGTGAAAACCTGGCACTGTACGTGATGCAAACGTGTTATAATTAAAGGCAAGAGTAAACACTTAAGACATTTTAATAAAATATCACAAGTCCTTTTAGTTCTGGAACGTTGTTGATGCAAGGATAAGAAGATATAGTGGTACCTCGAGTTTCAAACAGCTCCCAGCTCAAACAATTATGCAAGTGTATTTTCTAAGCGCTTTTGTAAGTGTATTTTTGGGGGTCTGAAACGGACTAATCTAATTTACATTATTCCTTGTGGGAAAAAAAGTCGTTCGGTATCGGCACTCGAACAGCCTTCCAGAACGAATTAAGTTCGTAACTCAAGGTACCACTGTACTTGGAACAAGTAATCACAGATACAGCATAACCACTGGATAAATTTAGGTAGGAGTATCTGTGCTGAGACAAGAATGTAGTACGTATATGAAAGGCAAGCATTATTTTAACACACATACACAAATCCAAGCAAAAGGCAGGAAAGAAAGTTAAAAATACTATAAAAGAGCAGACTCAAAAATATGGAAACTCTAAACATGGAAAAGGATTGTTGAAAATATTTATTTTGAGCCAGTTTCATAAGTACATAAAATAGAGGACATTCAATGAATTAATTTCAGATAACTGACGATGAATAAATGGACATGGCTTCGTGGTTTCTCAGACAAGATAAGTTTAGCTAACCTTGGCTCTGTTGTTGCAGAAGTGTCTTTCCCATAACCAGTTGCGATTCTGGACAGCCATCTTCTGCTAACTGACTTCTCATTCGCCGCAGCAATCCCCTTGGGCCACCTGTCAGACCAAAAATTTGAACTTTACAATTTGTTAATTTTTAATTTACAATGAAAGATGTAGCATATCATGGAAGATTGGCCATTTTAATTTTTTTTCAACACATCAGCAGTCTCCCACTAAGGTATGGTGATTAAAAAAAAAAACTCAAGTTATTCATTATCTGTCTTACCAGAAGCAGGCCGACATTACAGCTCAAATAACCTTCTGAATTGCAATATCCAACTACTCTTTCAGAGTGCAGACACTACTTCCCACTTCCAGGACTCAAACCATACCACAGGTGGGGATAGAACCAGCGATCAGAGAGTCATAAAACTCTTTGATCAGTATTGTTTGTTTGTAATCGTATCATTACGATTTCGCGAGTCCAGGATTCAAGTCTAGCTAACCAGTTTCCCTGAATCCTCCATTTAGGAGGAAGTGCTAAACCTATGGGAGTTATATATCACACTTATCACAGGAGGCAATCAGGATTGATTAAAGAAATGGGAGGACAAGCCTAATTCCTTGCATCAAGAGTTCCTCACCAACATTACATGAATTTTATCACAAGCATTAAAATACGTATATAATACAATGTACACAAACAATGGAAATATAATAAACAAAGAAAATTTTCAGTAAAAAAAATTTACTACATCATCATAAGGGTTCCCTCAAATTTCAAGACTGGATAATTTGAAGTTTGGTCTTCAGAATTTTTTTTGCTAAGAGCACAGTACCATGAGTATTTTACATAACATTGCATAATATATAGGAAGCTACATGCCTTTGCTAGTAGCTAAGTAATGTGCCTGTCTATAATGGAAATTTAAACTGCCATTTTTTCTACACTGCCAACAATAAATTCACCCAACAGACAAGAATTAAAGAATATTCCTAGACATTACAGTGAGGTTACCACTAATATAGGTTGCTTGTTACAGAACATCATACAATGATCTACCTTTTTAATTTTCTTTTTACACAAATAGTATAGTTTCAGTTTTCCCATACATTTGCTGTGTTAAGATTTGAGATGGGATGATGGCAAAATTATTTGCCAGTACTGATGCTCAGTTTTAGGACAATACTGACAAAAATTAGCAAATACCACCAATACCAATACTGATACTTTGGGACACCCCTAGTTAAGATTAGTATACAGTTATACAATGACTGCATTGGGTTAGGTTGGGTTTTGTTTGGTTAATTTAGGTAGGTTTAGTTCAAGCGAGTTGGATTAGAACATCACCAAATCTAACCTAATGTAATGTAATCTTGGCTAACTTAGCTTAACCAGTGCTAATTTTTTTTTTTTTTAACAATTTGCCCCTTGAAAAATGATGTTCATTGCAAAACCCACTTATAATTACTCATTGTAAACTATAAATTATCACCCAATTCTGCCAAGAATATAAAGTAAACACTGACCAACTCTTTTTCCAATCAAGTGCCAGCATGACATACCTGAAAAAGTTTGGGTAATAGTCACACTGACAGCTACACAGTAGCACTCATTATTTTACACTTTTCAGTACACAACAGTACAGCCTATATACAGCACAGAATAGGTAATCATTTTTTGTGCAAGTTATTTTGGAAGATAGGTCATGTGGTACACTGAGGCATGTCTCATGCCTGGCAAAATGTAAACGAAGATAAGTGCCATTTTTTAGGTTATTTAACTTAACCAAACGTTACTTTTCCTAATGCAACCTGACTAATTCTAACTGAAGGACCCCAATGGAAATAAGTCACTTTCACTTTTTTGGGTTAAAGTAGTTAACCTACACATATGCTAGTATGTATGACAATGACAATTTATGTAGTTATATATGAGTACTTGTACCTGAAAAAAAATCATAAAAGTAATCTAACCAAACAGCCTAACTTTACCTAGCATAACCTTACCTATCTTAATCTAAACTAATCTAGCCTTACCCAGTGCAACCTAACAACCTAAATCTAACCTATCTTTAACTAAACGATAAGCAGCTTAATCTAACCAGTTTCCATTAACATTTCCTCATAAAAAAAACTGTACAAGAAAGACTTCCCCTATAATGTAGCTTTAACCCCTCGACTGTCGCAACCCCCAATCCTGAGGTGTCTCCTGGTGTCGCAAAATTTAAAAAAAAATTATTTTTTCTTATGAAATGATAAAGAATCTTTTCCCGATTGTAATGACACCAAAAAAAAAACGAAATTTGATGGAAAACTGACGGAATTACGCTCTCGTGAAGTTAGTGACCTCGGCAATATTTACAAATGGTCAATTTCCCCATTTTGAGCCCTATTTTTGGCTAATTCCATTGTTCCAGTCGACCAAACTCATAGCTATTTCTTTAGAACTCCGTTTTTTCTATCGATTGAGTACAAGAAACTGCCCATTTACCAATTTCAACTACCCAATAACGTGATCAGAAATTTGCTATTTGGCCAATTTCACGAAAATTAAAAAAATATGAATTTTAAAATAAGGTCCAGAATGAACAATGCAGACATTCCTGGCTCTAAAATCACATTTTCTTTGTTCATCAGTCATGTCCCCAGGCCCCTCTGATATTACTCTTGCTTTCTATTTTGAATTTTTATTCAAACAAAAAATAGAAGACTTACTATTATGAAGACTACTGCAATACTGTAATAATTGTACAAATAACATCAACCCATTCATGACTGCATATCAGAATGGCTAGTTGGACATTTATTGGAAAAGGACATCATTTGTATACTTTTGAACATCGGCAAAAAATCAAACATTTCCCCTACTTTGAGCTCCATTTCCAGGTTCTTTTTATAGTAAAATCAATCAAAATCACCTCTATTTCTATAATATGTTTTCCAGTCTATCAAATGAGACCAAGAAAACGAGAATACAACCATGAATACTATGCGAAAATAGATCACAAAGTCGACATTTTAATTAAAAAAACGGTCGGAGTTTTTTTTTTCTCATTATGCACTGCATGCTCCAGGATTTTTTTTTATATGGTGCACACTGACCACACAGACCCATTCTCTCACATGTGGGCCTACCATTTTCTCCTTCTTGATTTGAAGCCGCTAGAATTTATGAGTATATATACGTCAAACACGGTACCTCGTAAGACGTATATGTACGGCCACGACAGTCAAAGGGTTAAGTAAGTTCATTTAGGTAGAGGTACACTAGTACTACAATTATTATTTATTTATTTATTTAGAAATTTAGCATACATACAGAGGTACAAAAAAGATACAGGTAAGAGCAGCAGGCCAAAGCCACTTACATGCATAGCATTACGGGCTGGCTTAAAATTAACTTAAGATTAACTAAGCAATGATGAAATCAGTGATAAAACATTATTGTAAACAGATAACTATAAGTTATGTGTATTATAATAAAAAAGAAGAGCTAAGCCACAAGGGCTATACAGCGCTGCATAGTAACGTGTAATTATCTAGGATAACTCAAAAAAGCAAAGTCAAAGTGACTTATTTCCATATAGGTTGTGCATGTGCTGAAAACTAAAATAATGCCATAGTTGTACACAGTTGCAGTCGGTACTAAATTTTATCAAGACTGATTTAGGTTAGGTAAGATTACAGTGTCCTGTAGCTTGATCGCTGGCACACTCGGTTCACACACTGAGGTCTGGAATTTGAATCTCCTCTGGTACGGATGGAAAACACTTGAGACGTGTTTGCATAAGATACCTGCTGTCCCTGTTCACCCATCAGTATAAAATGGGTACCTGGGTGTTAGTAGACAGGTGTGGGTCGCATCCTGGGACAAAACTGACTTAATTTGCGGGAAATGCTCTGCATAACAAGTGGCTTTCTATATAGTAGTATGTCACTGATGTCAACTATGGTCTGTATACCTTGTACATGTACTTGTAGAAATAAAGATTTATTATTATTATTTATTATATTTGTCAGGAAACAGGGCAAGCATTTCCTGATGTGGGGTCTTGGTCATATGACAGCCCATAGCTAGAGCTTTTGGTCATCTGACTGTGGACTTTTCCAGCCTTACTAGTCCATCAGAGTAAAAATTATAGAATTAGATTAATTTATAAGAACTCAAGAATGATGGACTAAACAGACTCCAGGCTGAGAGACTGATTTCCTCAAACTACTCTTCTTCCACCTGTCTCTGCACTGGCCCAAGCAAGCCGCTGGCCCGAGCAAGCCGCTGGACCGAGCAAGCCGCTGGACCGAGCAAGCCGCTGGACCGAGCAAAGAGCACGCTGGACCGAGCAAGCCGCTGGACCGAGCAAGCCGCTGGACCGAGCAAGCCGCTGGACCGAGCAAGCCGCTGGACCGAGCAAGCCGCTGGACCGAGCAAGCCGCTGGACCGAGCAAGCCGCTGGACCGAGCAAGCCGCTGGACCGAGCAAGCCGCTGGACCGAGCAAGCCGCTGGACCGAGCAAGCCGCTGGACCGAGCAAGCCGCTGGACCGAGCAAGCCGCTGGACCGAGCAAGCCGCTGGACCGAGCAAGCCGCTGGACCGAGCAAGCCGCTGGACCGAGGAAGCCGCTGGACGAGAAGCCCTGGACCGAGGAAGCCGCTGACGAGGAAGCCCTGGACTGAGAAAGCCGCTGGACTGAGGAAGCCACTGACTGAGGAAGCCACTGGACTGAGGAAGCCGCTGACTGAGGAAGCCACTGGACTGAGAAAGCCGCTGACTGAGGAAGCCACTGGACTGAGAAAGCCGCTGACTGAGGAAGCCACTGGACTGAGAAAGCCGCTGACTGAGGAAGCCACTGGACTGAGAAAGCCGCTGACTGAGGAAGCCACTGACTGAGGAAGCCACTGACTGAGGAAGCCACTGACTGAGGAAGCCACTGACTGAGGAAGCTGCTGACTGAGGAAGCTGCTGAGCAACTCAAATGTTACACAAGAGTTTCATATATTAACTAACTAAAGTTTGAACAGATATATATGCTTGATAATACTTCATACAAGTTTGTGGTTAATGGAGTCTGCTAAACCCGTAGGGGTCGTAGCATCAGGTTCAATCTAAGGAAGAGGGAGGCTTCAGTTCCTCGGATCAAGAGCCCTTCACCTTTTCAGAGTTACAAGTACAATGATCACAGTATTTGAAAAGTTGTTCATTATTCCCCTTGAATATCTCAGCGGAGGTTCCTTGATCCAAGGCACTGGAGCTGTCCTTCCCTCTCTCCCTTGGATCAAACCTGACTCCTGGCAGTTTCCCCAGATGTCAAGGACCCTAATGTAAATAAGTCACTTTTTGGGTTATCCTGGGTAATTCACGCATATGTTACCATGGATAATAATTTGTGTAACTGTATCTACATGTACGTGTACCTAAATATACTTACTAGGACCCCCTGCGGGTTTATCACTCCCCCATATTCACCTTGAATACTCCACTGCTTGCGAGTGGTCTTCCTGTTAGTGGTGTCAGCCTCCTGCAGGTGAGTGTCTGAGGGCAACGTGGCTGCCATCCTTCACTCCCCTCACACACAAAAATCACAAATTATAGTATTATACAGCCAAAATAAATGCTAGAGAAACAGAAGCAACGTCCACCCTCCCCGGCGTCTCCCACACGACTGATCCTCTTAAAGGTAAACAACACAGCAGTAAACACCCACCTTGTTGCTGCCAACATCCATAATAACAAACAATTTCCTCGTTGTATACTTCAAACTATGTTTCGGAAAACACTGCAGATCTATTATTGATTTAAAATGGATTGTTGTATAAAATAGCATCGAGGAATATTGTCTATAAGCTAGTGTAAAAAATCATAAAAACAGCAGGTGGTATTAATGACAGTGACTATTATCCAACTGATTATAAATTAGCTTCTTATTTAAGCTTCTTGCATAATCTTAAACTTTTACAGCGGCGAATAATGTAGAATTGAACCTTGGATAACCTAATCAAGTCAAATAATGTGTTTTATTTCTAGAGGTAGATAGGTATAATGTTTGTTAGGAAACAGGACAAGTGTTTCCTGACGAGGTAGGTACTTGGGTGTTAATGGACTGGTGTGGGTCGCATCCTGGGACAAGGACCTAATTTGCAAGAAATGCTCAGCATAACAGGCGACTTTCTATATAGTAATATGTCATTGATGTCAGCTATAGTCTGTATACCTTGCACTTGTAGTAAATAAAGATATTATATTATTATTATTATTATTATTATTATTATTATTATTATTATTATTATTATTATTATTATTATTATTATTATTATTATTATTATTATTATTATCATCATCATCATTATAACACGCTGCACTATCTAAACTATTATAACACATCGCACTATCACTATATGGTGCCTATGCGAACTGTGGAAAATACTGTATATATTTTCCAGAAATTCAGTATTTATATGTAAATAGATGGCCATACTGCATTTAATAATATTTATGTCATAGAAAACGGAAAGCCTGCGTCTGCACAGACGGGACTCGCCATCTTGGTTTTGAATTGGATACAATGTTAATATAATGGGAAGAATTTTTCGTGCTCTGGAGGTTAAAATTAGAATGACACCTCTCAAATAGGAGGCAAAATTGTTGGATGTGCATTCCTGCATAACTTGAGATATCAGACGACTGGACAAGACAGCTCCATGAACCTCAGATAAGCTCTCTAGATTTGTGTATAATTCTGGCCAGTGTTTTCATAAATTTAGCTAGTGAGGTTTTTCTGAGTATGATACAACTTAATATCCAGTCAAATTGGTGAGTGATATTAAGATATATTTTCCTTCTGTTGTATAATTGTGTATATATATAACCATTTATTATTTTTAATATACAGTCCACAGATTTATATATTTACCAGCATTCCTGGTGTATGTATATTTCATTTAATTAATAGGTCCAGAGCAACTTGTGGATATGACAGTGGTAGGTATCGAAGGGGGACATTTTTTTGCGACCTAAGTGTCCCAAGTTCCTACTTGTCTATGTATCATTGATAAATAATAATTATCCTTGTTATCATTTACTGTTATGTATATAATTAGTTACATTCAGATAAATGCAATTTTCCACACGAACATTCCTATGGTGTATAAATATATTTAGTTGACAGTATATATTTGTTCCCCGTTGGTTTAGTGGTTAGGGCCTCCGTCTGGAGATTTACAACTCAATCGTTGCGGGTTCGAGCCCCGTAAGTGAAGTAAAAATAATGAACGTCGAAATAATTGGTGAATATCACCCTCTCCTGGAGACCACCAAACCACTGAGAGTATGTAATATTTGCGACATTGTTAAATACACACCTTGTGCATTTGGTAAAATCTGTAAAGGTCTGGTGGCTAAAGCTCCCGCTTCACACCCGGTGGGCCCGGGTTCGATTCACGGCGGGTGGAAACATTTCGACACGTTTCCTTACACCTGTTGTCCTGTTCACCTAGCAGCAAATAGGTACCTGGGTGTTAGTTGACTGGTGTGGGTGGCATCCTGGGGGACAAGATTAAGGACCCCAATGGAAATAAGTTAGACAGTCCTCGATGACGCACTGACTTTCTTGGGTTATCCTGGGTGGCTAACCCTCCGGGGTTAAAAATCCAAACGAAATCTTATCTTATAAGCTAATTTGCAGGCCTCCTGTACCCAAGGGCCAAGGTCGCATTGTACATTGTATTCATGTGCAACCAATCTAACTGTATTGCACTGTATTCTTGCTTCGATGGCTCCTTACTCTACTATGACAGTGGCCTTTCTGGCAGCGCCTACACAATGGTAGTTGACTACTTCTACATGCACTCCTGCTTCAGAACACTTCAGGTGATTCATGATATACAACAATATAGTGAAACATGCGCGTACCATGCACTAGCCTTCATGGATATTGTGTCCACTTCCCAGCTCACGAACCCTGATGACATCGAGCGCTGGTTCTGCATAAGAATGAAATGTTTCTCGGATATTAAGGCAATCAACCTGGTCAGATCAATGCTGAGTGAATTCAAGAATAACATAGTTACTTTCTGAAAGAATTTACTGGAAAGTGTATTGACAGAAGAGATTGTAAATCATCTGCTTGCAAAACAGGGTAGAAATGGACAAGACTTACGAGAATCAGGATTCACAGGACAGAGATTCAAGAACAGAGAGTGTGTTGTGTTCGCTTGGGAATATACATATGTGTTAGTTTACGCACATATTAGCGTCGTCGTTCCTAGTGATCCTTAGACTGTGTTTCAGAGCTGTGAGCCTCGTGAGGGTGACTAAGGGCTCCTACTGGGGCACTGAGCCTCACAGCTCTGCACCCAGTGTGGGCGGCTATGAGGTCACTGGCAGCAGCTCCGCTGCAGGTTCTGTCCCCACACCTACAGTCACCATGTTAGACCCAGGAGAACGGCCTAAACGTTCATTGGAATGCGGGGACGAATCGGAGGACGACGTTGGGCAGGTGGGAGCCCCCATCAAGAAGGCCAAGGATGCAGTGGAGACTACTGTATCTGTCGATCTGCCACTAGATCTGTCGGCAGCTGCTACCCAGGAGACTTGCACCCCCAGATGGCCATAGGGGTCATGGAAGGAAACCAGGAGGCTGTAGCTCCTCAACTGGCAAGGATGGAGCCATCCCAGGTCCCCGACCCAGTTGCACCAGCCTCCACAGAGGATGGGGACTGGCTGACTCCACGTGGAAGAAGGAATTCCCACTCTGCTCGGGCACAAGCAACCAGGGCCTTCAACAAATTCAAGGTTCCCAATTACGGGTTTGTGAGGTATCTGGAAGATCTACCCCCCCGCCTCAAGTTCCACTGCGAGTTCATTCTGAGGAACGAGGTTTTGGTCATTCCTCGGAACGAAGATTCTTACAAGGGGTTGAAGGGGCTGGTTGTGACGCATCCCAGCATGGTGGAACTGGTTGCCTGGGAGAAGGTGTACAAGGGGGGCGCTCTTACATGTCCCTGTGCCCCTACCACTGGACCCCATTTAGGAAGTGCCCAATATTGTCAAGGCAGAGTGACTCACTGCCACGGTAAACAAGGTGCCCACCTGTCAGGTGCTGATCCACCACAAAGGTCCACTTCTGTGCACCTGGACCTTGGGGTCTGGGGAAGATTCAATACCCGACCATACCTGTCGGGCCCACTGCAATGCTTCAGCTGTCAGGGGTTCAATCATATTGCAGCCACTTGCCAGCGAGAGAAGTGTGGTGTGTGCAGCAAGGCACATGACTCGAAGGACTGCATTGCAATTCTCAAGCAGCCAACCGGCGAGGCCCTTCAGCCAGAGCCCAAGTGTGCCAACTGCTCAAAGAGGCACCATGCCTGGAACCGGAGCTGTCCTGTGATGGTGCAGCACTCGCAGCAGGTTTCGTCATTGGAACGACCCGGCAGCCCCGATGCCACCCAGCCTTGGAACCACCCAGCAACAGTCAGTATGGGCTCCAACCGCAGCACCCCGGATACCTGCAGGAGGGCAATACCAGCAAGTTCCTGGCACTGGGCTCCCAGCAGAGGCATCAGGGAATAGGCACTGGCTTGCAGCAGCATGGTCAACTGCGGGGTCAGACAGCACGGTGGCCAGAAAGACAGAATCACTGGGAAAAGCAGCCACAGACCAGGAACACTGCCCAGCAGGTCCCGGCTGGGCACCATCATTCCTTGCCATCCCTCCAGCAGGCCTCTTCCCAAGGGCAGACCCTTCCTGTGAGCAGCCAGAGTCAGGCAGAAGTTCCCCACCAGGGGACCCGGAAGCCCGCAGCCACTCAGGCCGGACCCAGGGTGCACCTGGGCTTATGCAGTTGCAGTGTCGACAGCCACCCAGACATACCCAGAGACTCAGCCTCAACTCGACGTGTCGTCCAGCGCAACCCCTACAGTAGAATTGGTAGACTCATTTCCCACTCGACTGAAGAAAACCATCGGGGTCATCTCAGCGCTCCTCTGTTGCCTGGTGCCGTCGGCAGAGGACAGGGGTGCTGCAGACAGCTCCTGTCGTGGATGCTGGGCATGGTCCTACTGGACAGGAAGGACTCAATGGAACTTCAAGCCATCATCCAGGAGTCCTTCCAGTCCGTGATGGACGAGGCCCCGGAGTCACCAACAATGGACGACGAGTTCCAGGCAGAGATGGAATCAGAGGGCCACCTCTGCGGCCCTTGAAGATCCTCCAGTGGAGCATTTGTGAGCTGCAGCAGAAAATTCACTTACTGATTGAAGCTGCAGTTCAGGATGAGGTTGATGTCTTCCTGCTCCAGAAGACACTTACCAATTCGTCACTTCAAACACAACCACATATCCTGGGATTCTCAGCTTACCTTCAGTGCCTGGAAGGGACTGGCAGAGAACAGTGATCTACGTCAGGGCCTCTATCTCTCTTTCAGTTTCCGCTGACCCCATCAACTGCGGAGAGGGCGTGGAGGTCCAGGCTGTCACCCTATTCCTGCCGGATGGACCTCTCGTGGTCTATAACTTATACAGAAGTTCTCGGTACACCCTTGACATTTCAGAGGTGGCAGCACTCGCCCCTCTGGAGGGTCTTGTGGCTGGGGATGCCAATGCCCACCACCCAAGTCTTCTGTCTCTCCTACCAATGCAGCTGGGAGGCACCTTGCGGCTGTGCTGGAGGAGGTCCCTGAGATCG